CTTCCGAGGTTTAAAGGTACGTTACGCTAATTCTTAGAAATATTAGCGGAAAATTAGATTAAGCGAGTTCTTGCCACGTGCTATTTCGTTTTTTTAAATTATTATCTTTAACTTTTTAATTTATTATGTTTGTTTGTTTGCTGTTAAACACAAACTACACAATGAACTATCTGTACTCCACTCATCACGGGTATCAAAACCCGAATTTTAGCGTTCTAAGCCAACTTACTTACTTTTTTATTTATAAGTTGAGTGCATATACTTTGCATTTTAACTAGGTGATAAGCCACTCTTCTTTTTAGTGACAGATAAAAAAATAAACATATTATATAAATAAATAACTCTAAGGATTTTCAAATAGACAGACGTATACTGGCAGAAAAGTATACACACGGGTAAACAACTAAGTTGACAGGGTGGAAGACAGAAAATAAATTGTAAATTAAAACAACACTACCAGAAACGTATATTTCAGTTATAACCAGGACCTCTCAGAGAGGCCCGGGCCACTTCTATCTTTTGAGGCCCCTGATTATAATAAAAAAATAAAATGATAACACATGAAAGCAAAATAAGATAATCATTCTTTGATAGAATGTTTAGGCAAGAGTATACATGATGTAACTATGTAGAATGGACAGCAACTCCCCGGCCTTTCGTCTTTAGGCGGAAGACTTTCGAAACGTCATCCTCTTCACTTGTGTCTCTACAACGGGCAGTTGCCGTCCATTCTACAAAGTTTCATCAATATAATCACTAGCCCAAAGGAAAAGTGAAACATAATTTGAATATTTAATTTGCAGCTCTAAGCTGAGAGTGTGTGTCATAGTTTGGTCTGATTGGGAGGCACATAAAAACAATTAGCAAATTTAATAATTGCAAAAAGTAACAAGTATCTAAATTTGAGGCCCCCTTTGAGCTTGAGGCCCGGGCCAAATGACTCCTCCTGGTCCCCTCCTCTAATTAGTCCTAATTATAACTGTCTTTATTTAGAATAAAAAAAAGGCATTATTTTAGTCTGGAAAGTTGTGTTGTATATTAGCTATGTTCAGTCTTCTTTCACTTTGGCACACTTGAATAACATACGTAACTAGTGTCTGCAGTTTCACATACAATATTTTACTTTATTTCTCTTATTGAATAAATGATGAACTTCCTTAAGTTTTGGTATATGTCTAGGAACTTTACACAAATTACTACTGATGTCAGGTACTACATTGAAATAATCGCCTTGACGAAACAACTTGTAACAAAGCCAAACAAAAGGCATTCGCGAATACTGTTCATGAAAACTCGTGAATTTCTATTTTATAGCTTTTTATCAGCATTAAATTACGTATAAATTCGAGCAATATACAAGAAAAATCGAAGTCTGGTAATTTTTATGAATGCCAAAACAATTAAGAACATAATTGGTGATTTTGAGACAATTTTAAACTTTTACTGATGAAAGTAACCTCAATATTTTGTATCTACATATAAAATACAATAATGTCTTAACTAAGCCTAATAAAGGATAAAGCAGAATCGTTCAAAAAAATGTATGGACACTACACAGCAATCGTAAGGAAAATCATATATGTAAAATTATTCTGTCTTTTAAAAACTACTCATCCTAGGCGAACTAAATTTCACCAAAGGTGTAATGAGAAGAACAAGTGTTATACAGGAAAGTCTAAACATGGTCTAAAGTGTCACGAAAGGTGTTCTTTATACTTTCTCACCATTCCCAATCACCATCTTCTGTACTGGACAGTCTTCATTCATCCCCTCAACATCCTACAAGGTAACAAATATTTCATTCAAATCACTAATTCGTATATACTTAAAAAAAAAAGAATAAAAATATATTGTGAAACAAGTCAAGTTTATTTTATCCCAGATGTTTCGTATTGTGTATACTCTATCTTCAGCGGTTTTCTGCTTGTTGAGTGTGTGTGTGTATGAATACATGTATGGGCGTTTCCATCAAAACTAAGCGCTATCAAGTTCTTATGTTTCCGCCATTCGCATTCACAAAGACACCATCAACCACCACTCCTCTTTGAATTATTGCAAAATTGGCTGCCTACTCAAATCTGACATAGAACTATTAATAAAAGAAAAGCTGTTGATAAATTAGTATCGACCAACTAATCATAACAGCAACAGCTCTTTTCAGTTAGCCTCCCAGTGGCGCAGCGGCAAGTCTGTGGACTTATAATGTTAAACACTGGGTTTCGATACCCATGGTAGGCACAGATAGCCCATTGTGTAGCTTTGCGCTTAATAGCAAACAAACTTTCAATTAAAACGTTTAGATTTTGTTTAACTTTTCACTATTTACCTTCTTTCGTCAATCTTCCTACCCCGTAAATATTTATAAAGTTTATTTTCTAACTTTGCTATGATTATTTATGTAAACTTTAACACTTAAACGAGCTAGTTATTTTCCAGATTCTATAAAAGGGTATGCCTTAAATGTTTCACAGAAAAACGCTAAAATTGGATTATGTGTAGTTCGAAACGTCTAGAATAAACTGTTGTTTGTTACTCTTATCTTGATCTTCTTGATAAAATTACGAATCCCTGCAAATTAATCAGTCATAAGTCTTGTATTATTGAAAGAAAAACAGTGGTAAGTTTGAAGAAAAGCGCTTTAAAATATGGTTTTGGAGCTTTCTGTACCATGTCAAAACTTTCATGAACAACATTTATGATTCTAAGTGTGCCTATAGTAAAATTTGATTTCCCTATGACAAGTAGTTTTAAGATACAGTAATTTTAAATGCGGCTTTTTTCTTCATAATTATAGTATACAAGTAATTATACCAAACAACCTATTTTAATAAAAGCTGGTCTATTTATCTTAACTATGATATTAAAAATGATATTTTACTTACTACTGTCTCAGATGAGGTACGAAAATGTTTTAAGGAAAACTTAACGCATTAGCTTCTTAAGCGATTACAGAAAACCAGTAGCTTTCTAAAGGGGTTTACAGAGCAACAGTAGCTTTCTAAAAGGGTTTACAGAGCACCAGTAGCTTTCTAAAGGGGTTTACAGAGCAACAGTAGCTTTCTAAAAGGGTTTGCAGAGCACCAGTACCTTTCTAAAGGGGTTTATAGAGGACCAGTAGCTTTCTAAAGGGGTTTACAGAGCACCAGTAGCTTTCTAAAGGGGTTTACAGAGCAACAGTAGCTTCTTAAGCGATTACAGAGCACCAGTAGCTTTCTATAGGAGTTTACAGAGCACCAGTAGCTTTCTAAAAGGGTTTACAGAGCACCAGTTAGCTTTCTAAAGGGGTTTACAGAGCAACAGTAGCTTTCTAAAAGGGTTTGCAGGGCACCAGTAGCTTTCTAAAGGGGTTTACAGACCAGCAACAGCTTTCTAAAAGAGTTTACAGAGCACCAGTAGCTTTCTAAAAGGGTTTACAGAGCACCAGTAGCTTTCTAAAATAATTTAAAGAGCAACAGTAACTTTCTAAAAGAGTTTACAGAGCACCAGTAGCTTTCGAAACAAAAGGGTTTACAGATCAACAGTAACTTTCTAAAAGAGTTTACAGAGCAACAATAGCTTTCTAAAAGAATTTACAAAACACCAGTAGCTTTCTAAAAGGGTTTACAGAGCAACAGTAGCTTTCTAAAAGAGTTTACAGAGCACCAGTAGCTTTCTAAAATAATTTACAGAGCAACAGTAGCTTTCTAAAAGGTTTAACAGAGCAACAGTAGCTTTCTAAAAGAATTTACAGAGCACCAGTAGCTTTATAAAAGCTTTGGTGGGACGGTGATTCGAACTCGTGAACCTCAGGTTACGAGTGAAGCGCCCCTAACCAACTAGCCCTACCGGAGCCTAGACGTATTATTCTGTTTGAGCTGTAAGTTTAGAAACTTACACCCTCTTCCTCGGGAACATGCCCAGCATGGCCAGGTGGTTAGAGCGCTTGACTTGCAATATAGTCTTTCGCTGTTATATTAAGGACGGCTTTGCGCGAAATTAAAAAAGCAAACAATCCTGGGGTAAGCATTATAGCACTGAAGCTATTTGTCAAATCTTTCATTTACTAATGGACGTAAAACACACATAGAAATCGTGATACTAAGATAACTAAGCCTATTTTGGTAAAGAAAAAAAATATACCAATGCAAACATTGTTAAATCTCGAAATAGAACCATACACAAAAATCAGGAAGAAATAAAATTAAATTTGAGCAATTTCTTTTTCCAAAAAAAAGAAGAAGAAAGAATAGTATTATAACGTCTACAATGAAATTCTAACGTTTCTAGTCGACTATGTAGAAGTGAGTGTTTTATTATTGTTACCATGGCAGTATTGAACATTACCCTTAACAGTGATTCGCCAGATGTCCTTGAAATGTTTTTGATTTTACCCACTTTGAAACTTGAAAATTATAATCCGCATTGCCACGTGTATAATTAGCCCGAAATAGATTTTGTTTATAGGACATAGCAGCTGTACATCAAATTCCATTGAACAAGTGAATATCGCTAAAGAACAATGGTTATCAAACTTTTCAGGCTCGCGCACCACTTTTTGTTGAAACTTCTCTTTTGAAGCACAAAATCAGGACTAATTGAAAAATAACAAAAGATATATAGCAACAGAAAATAATATTTTCACATTTGCTCATTAATGGGAGGAATAGGATAATTATCCTGGCACAACTGAAGAGTTTGTGGTTCTATTTTTGTCAGTTTGAAGTGAAGAAAATTCTGGTAAGTCTGTGCAGGTGGAGGGCAAGTGTGAAGAGTAGTGGGAAGTTCATGTTGGGCTAATTACAAATTTTACAATTTGTACGTTGATTTTTTTCGTGTACCACCGAAGAAAGATATGTGTGCAAACTTAAATATTATACGGATATATTAATTCCATAACAGATTAAGTAATACCTCTTTTAGACCTCTGCTTTTTAAAGTCTTGTTCTTATTATCAACTATATACAAGTGATCACGAACCACTAGTTTTGAAATATAAGTTTGTTTTTTTTTATCCAATTCAGGGAATGAGAAATCTTCGTGGAGTTAAAAATGTCTTTGAATCTTTATTTCTGTTGCTGTTTCTGTTTGGACAGGGGGCCATTTATACAGTTTTTGCTGAAGGGTAAGCAGACAGAAATTAATTTTGTTTTGTTCCGACACTTGATGATTTGTCAGTCTAAAATATTGACTTTTCATTTCATTACTTTTAGAAAGTGCAGAACGGAGATTCTCTAGAAAAACAACTATCATAAAACGCTCTTTCGCTACTTTGTTAAACGCTAGACTTCTGTGGTGTCAGTTCGAAAATGTAAGGTGTACTTCATGGACTGTTACATTACGCAATGACTCTCTAAAGTTATGATTAACTGTAGTAAAATAAGTAATCTACATATAAAGTTGAAGTGTGGTAGCACACAATAAGAAAAATGTTAAACTTTAGAAACGCATCAGAGTTTCGTAAAGAGACAGTAAACTGTAATAGCCCACAAGCAGGTAAACAGTAAAACTGTGGTAGAGCACGAGTAGAGAGATAATGAACTGTGGTAGCCCACGAGCAGGTAAACAGTAAAATGTGGTAGAACACGAGTAGAGAGATAATGAACTGTGGTAGAACACGAGTAGAAAGATAATGAACTGTGGTAGAACACGAGTAGATAAACAGTAAAATGTGGTAGAACACCAGTAAAGAGGAAATGAACTGTGGTAGCCCACAAGCAGGTATACAGTAAACTGTGGTAGAGCACGAGTAGAGAGATAATGAACTGTAGTAGTCCACGAGCAGGTGAACAGTAAACTGTGGTAGAACACGAGTAGAGAGATAATGAACTATGGTAGAACACGAGCAGGTGAACAGTAAACTGTGGTAGAAAACGAGTAGATAAACAGTAAAATGTGGTAGAACAGGAGCAGGTAAACAATAAATTGTCATAGAACATGAGCAGGTAAACAATAAACTGTGGTAGAACACGAGCAGGAAAACGTAGTCAGAGCATTTTGACATATTACTAAAGAGAAAGTATCACATTACTAATTTCAAGAGGGAAGTGCAGTTAACTAAACGTAAGAAAGTTTCTGAATGACAAATGTAACTCGAAGAATTGTGTGAAAATGTAAATAGAAATATCTATGTAACCAACCCTCGAAACATCGACATTTTGTGCTATAGGACGAACACCTTCTTTCATTATAAATGAAATAATATGTTTTACAGGTTCACTAACCGTACAGATAAACAGATACTGGACAATCTGCTAGATCACGTAAACTACGATTACAGAGTACGACCCAGCGGTAAGTTCTAAATGTCTTTACTTCTATACTACTGTCGTTCTTGTTACCGATTTTCTTCTGCAGAGCACATTTGGGGTCAAACACAGACTACTCTCGTCAGCAAACAACTGACAGAGGTTGCGCCTAGTCAGCTTTTCACTGATAAAATAGATTACAAGAAAATAAATTAATGATTGCACAAATAAAGCTACTAATGTTTTCCTCGGAAACAGATTTTTTTATCGTGTACTACAGATTAGTAATTCAAAACTTACCATTGCTTCTATAGTCAGATGATCAGTATTAACTGTGGCAAAGTGACGAATCTAGGTTCTGTTTTTTGACCTGTATTCGTTTTTAGTCAGGCTGCCGTATGAAAAGCCAATGAAAGAATATTTGAATTACAGCAATTTAAGCGAGCAAGTCGTGTTCCTTGTTTGTGTTATGTGTTGAATTGTTAGAGCAAACAAAATGTTTGATTTGTTTTGAATTTCGCGCAAAGCTACACGAAGGCTCTTTGCACTAGGCGTCCCTAATTTAGCAGTGAAAGACTAGCGGGAAGGCCATCATCACCGCCGACTCTTGGGCCACTCTTTTACCAACGAATAGTGGGATTGACTGATACAATATAACGCCCCCACGGTATGTTTGGTGGGACGGGGATTCGAATCCGCGACCCGCAGATTGCGAGTAGAGCTCCCTAATCATTTGGCCATGCTAGGCCATGCAAACAAAATGAGGCAGTTATTATGTTTCTTGTTGTCGTGTCTGTTGGTCAGTTGTAGTCAACAAATCGATTAAGTAAGTCATGTTTTTTATATTTCTTGTTTGATGATCCGTCTCAAGAAGACAAGGCGAGTTAATCATTTTACCTTGTCTGTTCGTGTGTTAAAACAACACAAGATGAGCGAATCACGTTTTAATGTTTCTTGTCTGTTTGTCATTCCTAGCAAGTCGGTGGGACAGCGGTAAGTTTATGGAATTACGATGCTAAAGTTCGGGGTTCGATTCTATGCGGTGGACACAGCAGATAGCCCAATATAGCTTTCTTCTACAACAAACAAAGGCAACTCGAGCTCAGTAACTTATATTTCGAATTAATTTTCTTTGATAATTGAGAACCCACAAGTATGAAATTAGGAGTGTGTGATATAACCATAACTTAGTTTAAAATCAGGCATGTGTGAAAAAAATCATCATGGAGTTTGAAATACAGTGAGTATAAAATAATTACGATACGGTTTAGAGTCAGGCGTGATAGAGATAATAACTCTAGGATTTGGAATCACCAGTGTGTGAAATAATCGTCATGAAGTTTAAAATCAGGCATGTGTGAAATAATCAGTATGGAGTTCGAAATCAGGCATGTGTGGAATAATCACCATGAAGTTTAAAATCAGGCATGTTTGAGATAATAACTCTGAGATATGAAATCAGTCTTGGATGAAGTAACAACGAAGAAATTTAAAACAGGCGTGTGTGAAATAGTTAAGATAGAGCTTGAAGTCAGACAAGTATGAAATATTCCTGATGGGATTTAGAGTCAGGCGTGTGTGAGTTAATGACTCTGAGATATTATATCAGTAGTGATTGAAGTAATCACGAAGGAATTTAAAATTTGTGTAAAATATTAACACTGGTGTTTGAAATCAGACATGTATGGAAAGTCACACTGGAGTTAAGTCAGGCGTGTGTAAAATCATCACGCTGGGATTTGAAGTTAGGCGTTTGTGAAATAATTACACAGGGGCTTGAAAGCAGGCATGTACGAGCTAATTACCCTGGAACATGAGTTAGACGTGTGTGAAATGGTCTCACTGAGGCTTGGCATCAGGCGTGTGTGAAATAAGCACAATGGAGTTTGAAGTCAGAAGGGTGGCAAGTAATCATACTGGGGCTTGGAAACAGGCGTGTATGAGTTAACGCACCTGGGGTTGAATTAGGCATGTGTGAAATTATCACACTGGGGTTTGAAATCAGGTGTGTGTGAAATAATCACGACATTACGATGAGCTACAAAAGGATTTTGTTACATTTAAATAAGTTTCTTCGAATCACTTTTATAGCTCACAAGTAAAAGTACCTGTCCCCAGTGACGTGAAAAGTTTAAGTTAATCTATCAATTTAAATTATTTCATAGACTTCAAAAAAAGTTTAATTGTGTTGCACTCTTGGTTTCACTTAGAGCCAAAGCTCTGAGCTACTTATACCGCCCACCGCTAAAAGTAATTGTTGAGCATTTCAGTCATGCTAAGACCCGCTCGACAATAACATATGGTAGATCTACATTTGTATTATTTAAGTTACGTCACATTTTGAAATGTGAATGATAGTGTGATTAATTCCTAACAATTTAGTGTAGAATATTATGCTTGCGAAATAAAATTTGGCATCAGTATTCTTCATGCCTGTTCTCCCGTCATTTCAAAAGTGAATGTTGAGCTTTGCCTGCGTGCACAGCTTTTCAAACGGGAGACAGACGAACGCTCGGACAGACACAACGGTTCGCAATATATATAAGATTAAAATATAAAATGTTCGTGAGTTAATTTATTAGATTGAAATAATACTTTACTCTTTATTAAGTTTGTTTTGGGGTTGATTTGAACTGAATACGTGTTTACCTAAAATAAAGTTTTGAAAGCCACAATTTGAAATAAATATATTGACTTTTGGGGTTGATTTAAGTTGGGTGTATGTGTTTACCTAAAATAAATGTTTAAAAGCCAGAATTTGATATAAATGTCTTGATATTTTAGGTTAAGTTACAAGTGGATGGATAAGAGAACAAAATATGTCTAAGTACATGTTGTTTAAAGAAAGCTACGAATATTGGTCAATTAATTTTGGCAATAGTCAAGTTTTTTGTTGTTGTTGCAGAAAAATACATTGCCAGAATGCATGAAAATAAGTAATTTATTATTCATTACGACCTATTCAACATGAAACTACCCTAAAGAGATACAAACACTGATATGGTGAAATGAATCGATTTCATGTTTTGTTGTTGTTGTTGTTAATAGAACGATATCCAATTTAAGTTCCTTTCACGAAAAATAAAAACACGCCCATATGGAGCTCTGATAAAAAAGGAAACGACAATAGGCTCCACTTGGATAAAAAGAGTATAGAATACTTCGTATACTATACTTTACGTGTATGTTTCAATATCTTTATTCACGTTTTACTGACATTGATTGTCTAAGCGTCCGATCACATTTTTCATTTCATTCTTAAAGATGTTGAATGCACATATGCGTGGTGCGAAATTCCAGTATTTTTTTTGAGAGGGGGAGGAGTTACATGCATATCGTTTCAATGTCTGATTGTGTATTACATGTTGTTCCTCGACATTCGTTGTTGGCCAATAGCGTTACGTTATATTTACAACTACTATACTTTAGTTGTATTTAATCGCAAAGATACACAATGGACTATCGCTGAGCCACCGGAGGGAGAGGTGACTACTATACTGTCAGTAAAACTATAAAAATATATCTTTCGCTATAGTTCTTAGCCCTATTCTATTCATTATGTATGTGAGTAATATGCCTCTGAAAGACCCAAATCAAGGTTTCGCATCACAATTCGCGAACGATGTTGCGGTCTGGAAAAGTGCCCCCACCCCATCCATAGCAGCAACAAATTTACAACCATTATTAAATAATATAGAAGAATACTGTCAAAATAGCGAATAAAAATAAACGTCCCCAAAACCAATTACTAACTTTCACAAGATTAACAAAACACACAAAAAAAACCCACCTAAACTATACATGAATGGAACACTTCTCCAGACCACAACCTCGGCAAATTTTTTAGGATTAACTTTAGACCCAAAACTGACGTGGGTAAAACATACAAATAATATATTAAAAAAATATGGAAACGCATAAATTATGCAAGAAGTCTAACAGGTAGAAACCAGGGAACATCACCTGACAACATTATTAAAAATATACAAAACATATATACGCTCCGTAATAGTATACGCAAGTCCTGCATGGATAAACATAGCTCCGAAACATATAAATAAGATACAATCTAT